CCTCAAAATCATCCTAACTCAAGGCATAGGAGAAACCCCATGTTTTAACACACTCGGGGGCTAATGTTAAACTGTTCTGCTGTGCTGACTATGTAAGAGTTGAGCAATACATCTGCTCTGCTTTGCCTCATCCAGGTGGCTTCACAGTGCATTTAAAAGTTCACAGAGCTGATGGAACTGACTGCCTCCAATAAGATTGTCATGGTCTGCCTGACATTTATGCCAATGACATGGTTTAGCGATTCAGCTTAAGAGGAATTGTAGCAAAGATGTCTGTTGATGAGAACTTGCATGCTGGCAATTCGCACTGGGGATTGTATATTTAGACTGACATGAATATAATTTGACAGAGTTAATGATTCCAGTTCTACAAAGCAAAACTCAAAATGTCAGTGCTAACCCCAATTGGTGGATTCCTTGAATAGACATCAAATTACTTTATTTTCAACTCTTAGCAATCACAGATAATTTTTCTTCATAACAATCTGTCCCTAATCTGATATTCAACCTTGTTATTGTCACAAAGTCTTATCATGCACGCCTGGTTATCTCTCTTCGTTCTTTTTCTTTATATAATGTGTTTGAGGTACAACAATTTAATTCTGGTCATTTTTGCCTTAACTGAGAACTTGGGCTGGATTTATTTTATGGTCCATTAATTAATTTATTTTTTGGCATCAGTACTCCACATTAGTTTTTTTTATCCCATTTTTATTACTTTACAAGTAATTCAAGGTGGCAAACATACCTTTCTCCTATTTTTCCACTGCAACCTTCTGAGGTAGGTTGTACTGAAAACGAGTGACTGGATCAGTATCATCTAGCCAGCTTTCATGCCTAAGGCAGGACATGAACCTTAGAATCCTGGTTTGTAGGCCAGCATCTTAACAACTACACCAAACTGGCTCTCTTCCTATCCTGCTTCAAAATCTAACTCATTTCCATAGAATGTCATAGGAAATACCACAGTTTTTAAATACCTGTAGGTACTGTGATGTACACATTATGGCACTTGAATGTTTTTTCTAAGGCCTTCATGGCTGCTCTACCAAGAGCTCGTCTCCAATGTATTTGACTGCTTGTTCCTTTATGTTGATGTTTAATTCTAATAGGGAGAAGTTATCCACTGTTGTCTCCAAACTCAGGCACCCTGAGTTGGTGAGGAGCTGATAAGAACTTGATCCCTTGAGAGAGAATTTTATCTTTGCAAAAGAGCTTCTTTGTCCACCTGAAAATATGAATTGCCAAGTAATTTGGGCAAAGCAAAAATCATTATAGAGAGGGAGTCAAATTATTTTAGGGTACAGAAACAAATAATAGTTACATTTGGTATACGTGATATGTTACAGAACAAGTGACCAAACAACAAAAGACACTGATTACATGTGAATCTTGAGAAATAGAAAACATTGATTCTATAAGACATTCTATAAGTGGCAGATTTATGCTTACGTTACTCTTTCCAAGCTGAGTTTGTATCTTTGTTTTTGCTGGCAGAGGCGCCGCAGGCTGGTCCTTTGCTATTTCCAGGGTGGGCCAGATCTAAGCACTCCATAGGCCGGATCTGGCCTTGGGCCTTGAGTATGACACTCCTGGTTTAGATCATTCCTGCAAACAAATTGGTTTCTTAGTTAGAGCTGTACGTAAACTTTATTATGGGAAATTAAGTGTAGTTACAGATTGGGCTACAGACTTGATACTACCGGTAATCAATTTTATTTTCATACACAGATGTCTTCCCTTTGTTAAAACTGAACATATTCTGGGACTGAGACAAAACACTGAAAAGTTTTTTTTGTGAAAAAGAACACCAGTTCAAGTTATGCCTGGAATGTTAGGACTTCTGTGAGTTACAGGTGAAAGGATTAGTGCACTTAACATTACCAAAAATATGTCCAGTAAAAAAGCTCAGCACGACAGGATTTATTCTCAGGATGCTTTGAAAAGGACAAGTTCTGGACTAGAGTTTGGGTTCATTTTCGCTAACCTCGAAGGGGATAAGTGCCATCTATATAACATTTTATACATATTTTCTTTGTACGCCGTGGATTTCGTAATCTTAATGATTTTATTCCAGATCTTTTCCCATTCTGTTAATGTAATGCTTCTTCCAATATTCCTACTCCACATTATCATGTTCCCTTTCACTATCTCTTGCTCTAATTCTACCTCCAATAAATATTTATAAAATTTAGAGATATGATGGAAATGTAAAAACATAGAGGGAACCTATTTTCATATGTGGTGGACCTGTAAAGAAGTCCAGAAATACTGGCAAAAAATTAGAAAATGGCTGGAGGAAATAACCAAAGAACAAATCGAATACAAACCAGAGTTCTTCCTACTAGGGATCTCTGATAAACATTTTTCTAAAAAGACGAAATATATTATAATTCATATTCTAACTGCGGCCAGATTAGCATTTGCCCAGTGCTGGAAATCATCCTATTTACCTACAGATCAAATGGTCATCCAGAAAATATGTGACTGTGCAGAAATGGACAATTTAACCATAGCTCTTAAAAATAAAGAGTCTTCAGCATTTTATAATAATTGGAATGCATGGTATAATTGGTTATACCAGAGATAAACTGTTCAATGAATAATGGGTAATGTAAGCATAAATAGTGATAAGATGTGTATATTTAAAGTAAGGTAGGAGAATTGGATCTTGCAGACTGTCAAAAAGGATATCTGTATGGTTTTAACGTATTTTCTTTTTTCTTCTGTCTCTTTGTTTTTTTCTTTCTTTTATACTTCTTTTTCTCCTTTTTCAGTCACAAGACCTTCTTTCCCTTCTTTCTTTCTTCTTTTTCTCTCTCTGTTGCATATGTAATGTTATGTTTTTTTTAATTGTAAATTCAATAAAATTTATTCAAAAAAAAGAAAAAAGAAAAGGACAAGTTCTAATATTACCCCCCACCCAGTTATACCATCTTTCCTTCTTATGGATTTAACATGGCTAGAAAACAGAAGCGTGCGTGTGCGCGTGCGCGCGCGCACACACACACACACACTCACAGAGTGGATAAAAAGTCTACACAACCTGTTAAAATGCCAGGATTTTAAGATGTAAAAAAAAATCAGACCAAAGTTAAATCACTTCAGGTTTTTTTCCTCCTTTAATATAACTTATAAGCTATACAATTAAATTGAAAAACAAACTGAAAATGCTTGTTTAGGGTCATTGTTATTGGGCCATTGTTGTCGAAAGGTGAAATTCCTTTTAATCTTTAGCATTTTAGCAGAGGCTTGAAGGTTTTTCCCCAAAATTGACTGATATTTGGAACTGTTCCTAATTCCCGCCACCTTGACTAAAGCTCCAGTTCTAGCTAAAGAAAAGCACCCCCAAAGTATAATGCTGCTGCCGTCATGCTTCATTGTGGATATGGTGTATCTTTGGTGATGTGCACTGCTGTTTTTGTGCCAAACATACTTTCATGGTCAAAAAGTTCAGCCTTGGTCTCATCAGACCATAAGACATTTTCTAACACGCCTGTGTCAGATTTGATGAAGGCTTTTCCACACACTCATGCAGTCATATTATTCTAGTTTTTTTACACCCCGCCTTAAATATTTCAGATTGTTTTTCAGTTGAACTGCACAGCTTATATGGAAAAAGGTGGAAAAATCCAGAAGTATTTTTTCTTGCACTAATTCTTTTACATCTCAAGAACCTGGCATTTTAAGGGAGGGGGAGGATTGTAGATTTTTTTATATCCACTGCGCGCGCGCACACACACACACACACACACTTTATTTATTTATTTGATTTGTCAATCGCTTACAAAATAATAGGTATAAGTATAAATATGAGTAAGAATACAGAAAATACCCTGTTTCTCCAATAACACGGCCTCCCCCAATAGGAAGTCCCAGCATGTTTTATAGGCATGAAATGAAATTAAGCCCCTCCCCCCAAATTAAGGCCTATATTAAAACATGTGAAATGGGGGGGAATGGTGGGGGGGGCTTGCCGTTAGGAAGTACTTTTGTTGCACACCCGGATATGGTGCTGCCTGCGTTGACCCCGATACGAAGTGCCCCACCAACGCCGAGGTCAACATCCAAGCCGTCGCCACCATCCCCCGCCTGAAGATGCAAGGGGGGGGGATTAAGTCACCCCCGAAAAGATGGCCTAGCCATGTTTTTGGGGCTCAAAAAAAAAGAAGACCCAGCCTTATTATATGAGAAACACGGTAGGTACCAGATTAGTTGCTCACAGGTTCACATTAGAAACTGCTCATCTCACTCACAGAGCTACTCTGGGTGGTGTACAAGACATTAAAATAAAAAAAAACTACGTACATATTATAATAGGAGGCATTTGAAACGAGAATAGATTAAAATTAAAAAGGCAGGAAGAAATTTGAAGACCCTAACCAACCCCATGAGTGCCTTCTCTCTCTCTCTCTCTCTCTCTCCATATATATATATATATACATATATAGACGAACACTATACAGAAGCCCGATGAATACCGGAACAAAGCTGAATGCCGTGTGTGTGTGTGTGTGTGTGTGTGTGTGTGTGTGTGTATACACATATACATATACATACATACACATACACAGAAATGAGGATTCAGATGAATTATTTGTGTGTGTGTGTGTGTGTGTGTGTGTGTGTGTGTGTCTGAATCCTCCAGTGTGTGTGTGGACAGAGAGAGAGAGAGAGAGAATTTATATTTTATTTATATTTATATATATTATATAAATAATCAATTTTTACTTAACTATTGATGTACCTCGTGGGGTGCAATGTCATCTATACATTCTTACTTCCTGAAGAAAGCCCCCTGTCCCTGCTCGTATTGATATGACTGAGGGGTTTGAGATGCTAACCGATTAGATTTCCCGGGCTGGCCTTGTTAGCCTGCCGAGCTTCCGACCAATCAGAAGTGTGCAACGCCTCTATGAGCTGCTTCCCTAGTCTCTTAAGTCCGCCTCTCTTTGTTGCTGCGCCCAATGGGGACGCACCGAATGTCGGCAGCTGCCGGGTAACATGGTTACATGTCAGAGAGTAACACTTGATCATGGAACATGGACTAAAGCGAAGGCGTCCGAGTCAGCTGCAGGAGCAGCATCAGCCGCAGCCGCCTGGAGAGGCTCCGGTGCAATGAATCCTCTCGCGATCGGGTAAGACTAACGGCGGCGCAGCGGGAACGGGAGAATGGGTGGGGTCCTCGTAGCCGAGCGAGTGATGGAGGGTGGGGGGAACCCTCTTCTTGGGGAAAAGAAAAGCCGTGCTGTAGCTGGGTCAGCCAGCCGGGGAGCTCCCCCCCGAGCCCCTCTTTGGCTTCGTTTCACACGCACGTATTCCAGAACCCCAAACAGTCCACCCTGGAGGTTGCCAAAACGATGTGGAAGGGTGCGTACGTTTTCCTTTGCAGCAGTCCGACCCTGGTTGCTCCGCGCCATTGAGCTTTCCAATCTCCGAACAATAAGGAGCAGGGGTGGCGAACGTGGGAATGCGCGCACGGAGAGCTGCTGGAATTTCCCTTCAGGACTCTCTTTGTGTGCGCGCGCGTATGTGTGTGTGTGTCTTTCCCCTTGTGGGTCCCAACCAAAAGCTGAGGCGGGATGCGGCGCCAACCGTCCTGTGTTGCAGATTCTCATTTTACCGAGGATTTGGGCTTCGGAATCTAGGCGCTATATAGCCCGCAACGGCGAGGCGTCCCGTTGCTTTTGTGAGCCCTTTCTTTCTCAGACTGAAATAAAGGGTTTTTGGCTGGCTGCTGTCGCCCCCTGCCGAGAGGCAGCCTGAGGATTGCTGTAGCAGAGCGAGCTCTTCTAGTGTCCTTTTGTTTGACAAGTGAATAGAGTAAAATCGGGCTTTTGAGGAAAGGCCCTTCTGTCGTTTACTATTTCCAGCTGATAACAAGGATACCAGGTGGTTGTGTTCACATCACCCCTTTAATCGGGTCAAAGACCTCAGCTGCATGTACACAGCAGGTAGCACCCTAGGCTTGGTTACTATTAACCTTGCTGGGAATTTGGGGGTGGGGGGAAGACGGGCTTGCCCTGTTTTGTTTTGCTCCTTTGGTTAGTAGAAGATTCCCTGTAGCATGCAACCCAGGCGAGGTTTGTGAGGGAGATGGGTGGTTTTAGAATATTGATGCTTATTCGTATCCATTTCATGTATTCATAATCATGTTTATACTTATACATGTTATCTCATACATGCTTGGCAAATTAATTAATTAATTAATTAACATAAAAGTAAAAACCATGCTTAAGGAAGGAACGTGACCCTTGGTGGGAAGGTTTGGCTTGGCTGCTTGATGCTGCTGATACCATGTTGTTTTGCACTCCTTGTGTCTTTGTAGATTCTGCTTCTATAAGGAACAAGCCCTCCACCACCTGCTTGGTGGCTGCTAGCAAGTGATTTCATGTCAAGCCTCATTCATTCGGCAGGAGCAAGGGGCAGAATGGAGCAGGCTTGCTTGACGGGACACTGACTAGGGTCTGTCTTCTGTCGGACTGCTGGTTCCTTGAGAGCTCACAATGACTGGCTCTGGCTCCAAAGCTTCCCACAATTCCCACCCCAAGGGAGACAAAGGGGGCCGTTCCAGAAGCTCCCACACTCGGACGCTCAGTACTGCCAACAACGGGGGCTCAGAAGAGGAGGACAAAGATGGAGGAGCAGTATTCCTTGTCAACAAAAGTGGTTTTCCAATTGATGGGCAGACCTGGGAGAGAATGTGGGGGCATGTGGCGAAGGTCCACCCTTCGGGCAGAGAGATGGTGGAAGCTATAAGGAGTGCTGATTTGCTTACAAAAGTAAGTTATGGCTTTTCCCCCTGAGTCCTTGTTTTCTACTTAACAGTCTGATCAGGTTGTGTGAAGGGTTTTTCCTTGTTTATGTGTAGTTGTTTATGTGGCTATTTCTACTTTCTACTACTTCTGCTTTTCACGGGGGTGGGATAGGTATTATTGCAAGAACTTATCTTCCCTGCTTCTTTTTGTAAGAAAAGAAATAATGGAGTACACTTAGAATTTTATTAGCAATTGGTAATTCTGAAAACTGAATTTTGAAAAATTCAGTGAACCTTGGAAAAAGCCAGAAATAGTCATACCTGGTTGGCATTTCAATTGAATACCACTTGGAAAGAAGACTGTGAAGTCAAAAATTACCCCATAATATTTTTTTTGAGGGGGGGAAATAATGCTACTGCCAAATTATATTGAGAGAATATGTGGAGTTTATCACTTGTGAGCTCAGCCTGGCTGGGAGGTGGGGAGCTACCTATAGAAATGGAACTAAATAGAAATAAAAAGGTGTCTAGTAACTACTAAAATATTGTTCTGGATTCTGAGAGCTGTTGATATGTTTCAGATTTTTCTGTTCAGCCTCAAAGGCTAGAAAGTTGCTTGAAAAATAATTGAACCCTACTCATTCAAGATTCAGAATCCTTTTATTTGTGGAGGGCTAATTGTCTCTCAGCCTTGGCTGTACTTGCTTTCATAAACTCTTGAGACATATATGAATGTAGTTCAACAGCTGTGCATTCTTTTCCCCAGATGAAATATTTGTAGTTGCAACCAAAAGTGCTAACAGTTAATTGTCACCTGGGCATTTCTATACCAAGAGCTTATTTTGAGCAGCTATTCGCTTTCCTCACATTTAAAAATGTGCTGTCTAGTTCCTTATCGCCAAGAACATTTGTGAAAGTTTGCTGCTCTGTGATAAGAAAGATGGGAAGAAATCGCAAGTGGCACAGCAGCTGAATTTGGCAGGAAAAACACCACTTTGCTGAGAGTTGCCAAGATGTTGGATTTAGCAGGATAGAATTAGAAGCCTACAAATAGTTGGTTTTCATATTCCCCTTTCTCACTCGCCTGTCACACTAGTTGCATGTCACTGCTTTATACCAAGGGAGATTAACTTCGTCTAGACCAGGGATGAACAATTTTGGCACTTTAGAATTGGCTAAACAATCTCTTGCCATTGGATAGGTGGGCAAGATTAATGGAGATTTGGCTTAGTAGTATCTAGCAGGGAACAAGTTGCTCACCTCTAGAAAGACTGTTTATTTCTGTGGATCATCAAGTTGTTTTCAAATAGTTTCTCCGTGACAATCTATCCTAACCTACTGAGGTCTTTCAACTTACTTCTTGATTCTCTAGGATGAAGTAGAGTCCCATTGACTGGGGGTGAGGGCAAGTAAAGTGTGGCAGAGTGACAAATGCAGTGTTATGGTGCCAGCCCTGCTTCTCTTCTATATATCTCATGATGTCACCCACCTCCAAAGAGGTGGAGATTTTGACATGGCACCATTTTCATCGTTCTGGCAAAAGCAGTGAGAGCCTGTGGATGCTGCTGTGGTTGAACCTACTGTTTCCTGTCCAAATCAACATAAGACATAAGACATAAGAATTTATTTGTCATTACACTCGCAAGCGGGTGCAACGAAATGAGGTGCTCTTCCACAAGTAAAACTGGACAACACTATTGAAAGAAAAATAAAATTAAACACAACAGACCATACAATAATCTCTATACAATTTAAAAATGTAAATACCCCATTACTCTCAGCCATTAAATTCCACAAAATCTTATGACCCTGCATTCAAACTCAAAGCTGCACTTGGATAAAAACTGTTCTTAAATCTAGTCGTCCTTGTTCTTAATACCCTGAATCTCCTTCTCGATGGTAATAGTTCAAAGAGCTGATGTCCCGGATGAGAGGAGTCATTCAATATATTAAATATCTTCCTCTTACATCTATTCCTATACCGTTCTTCCAAAGAGGGGAGTGAGCAGCCAATGATGTTTTGGGCCATCTTAATCACCCTCTGAATTGCCTTTTTCTCTGCCACTGTGCAGCTCGAGAACCATACACAGAGACAGTAGGATTACAACATCTGATTACTATGCTGTCCCAGCTCTGAATGGTAAAACACGTACCAAAATACAGTGTGTCTCTGGTACGTGTCATCTGAAAGAAATAGTCCTTAGTGACATTTTTTAATTAGAGTATTATGGGGCATGGTTCCTGCAGCTAGTTTTCTCTTTGGCTATGAAGGGATAAGAATCTGGGCTTAAGTGAAAGCTATCCCAGCAGGTGTTGCCTTTATGTGTCATCTCCTTTCCATTTGCCAACTTAATTCTGTACCATGTGACCTGTGGAGAGCTCTGATGATTGATAAAACAGCTGGCAATCAAAGGGTGGAAACACTTGCAACGGATACTCTTCAGAGACAGCAGCCCTTCCAGCCACCTGTCCTGTCTGTAAGCCCAAATGCTGAAGAAGAATCTTGGGTGGGGTTCTTCATTCCTTCCTCTTGTGTCTTAGCAGCTATAGGCAAGGGTGGCACTGTTGGGAACAGTCTGCTGGATTTCCTCCTGTAGCATTGCTCTGGCGATGGGAACCAGAATTGGAAAATCTTGCTGTGTTATAGAAAGCATATATTATACCAATGGAGAAACTAACTGTTGGCCAAATCAGGATCTTGGCATTTTGAAAATTCATTTGTCTGTGCAATAGAAGCATACTTTCTCCGCTTTACTAATAGGAGCAAATTAAAGGGAAAATGGGGGACTGATTTATGGATGACCTTTAACAAAGTCCCTATTGTAAGCAGCAAGCACAAGAACTGCGATAAAGAGATACAGAATTGAAACAGAATGATGTTGCGGCCCAACACTACTCATTTTCTAGTTGCAACACATCTGCTACATGGAGATCTTAAGCAAGACAGAGCCATCTTTGTGAGTCAGTGAATCTGACAATAAGGCCTCACAATATGGTTGCATGACAGTTGGTCATAAAATGGTTGTCATGATGGGCACAGCCAGTTTCACAGTAGCAATTGAATGTAAGGCAAACATAGAACAGCAGCCATTGGGCTCCAGAGACACTCTTGAAAGTGAAGAAAATAAGACAGGATGGTTCACATTATATAATTAATAAATTCTAAACTCAAAGCAGGTGGAATAGGGATTCTGGGGAGAGATCCAATATATCAATAATTCAGTATCAGCTCTTTAATGCTTATAACAATAGCACTTACCATATATACTGCATCACAGGGCTTTATAGCCTTTTCTAAGCGGTTTACAGAGTCAGCACTTTGCCCCCAACAATCTGGGTCCTCATTTTACCAACCTCGGAAGGATGGAAGGCTGAGTAAATCCTGTAAGATTAGTTGGGCTGAGAGAGTCACTGGCCCAGAGTCACCCAGCTGTCTTTCATGGCTAAGGCAGGACTAGAATAGCAATAGGAAGAGCACTTAGACTTATATACCGCTTTATAGTGCTTTCCAGCCCTCTCTAAGCGGTTTACAGAGTCAGCCTATTGCCTCCAACAATCTGGGTCCTCATTTTACCCACCTTGGAAGGATGGAAAGCTGAGTAAATCTTGAGTCTGTAACTTATTCTAAGGTAGTGAAGATGGTCTGTTTTTGTTCTGTTTATGTGATACTTCATTTTAAATGTATGAAGGTGCACCTGAGTGATTTATTGTGCTATTAATTGGCAACAACTACAAACACTCCCTCTCCCCCACCCCATGATATAGTTGGGATCTCCCAAAAGGAAGGGCATCATAGAGTCATGGCAGAAATTATCCACCCTTTCATTAAAAGATTAAGGGAAAATGCTGGTCTACTTATAAACCATGCTGCTGGGGTAATGACTTGCAGCCAACAGGTTCATTTCTGTCATTTACAGCAACTACTATATGTGACTACTAAAGGAAGAAAGTGACCAGCAATTTTTATCTGTATAAACCAGACTCTGGATACAGTATTTGCCTTTCTTGCCCAACCAGCCAAGCTCCTTGTATTGCTGGGATGAATGTAATAAAGCCTTCCCAACCTGATAATCTCCTAGTATATTTGTATCATTCCCATTACCCCCAGCCAATATGATCATTGGTGGCCATGTACCTACCAATGTTGAGAGAGCCCATCATTGAGCCAAAAATACTCAGTTTGAAGATGAGAAATATGAGTAGGAAAGCCTTCCTGAAAGCCCTCCTGAACAAAGCCTTGTGCAGTGGGAGAACAGCATTAGATAACAAGGCATAGATTGATAATGCATCCAAGAATCTGAAACACATTGTAAATATTTGGAGGTTAGCATCACATTTAAAGGAATAGGCTTTCTCCAGACAGATATAACTATTGTGCTTTGTGTACAAATTATTACTCAAATTATGAGTCTGCACATATACAATCTTAGTTATTGTAGTTTCCAGGTACAATAATTGTTTCTAAGTTGCTCTTTAAAGATTCACTCTTCATCCTTACCCAATATTTTAATGCCAAAGAAATCGGACAGTTTGCTTCTGCTTTAGATGCTTAGCGCACAACTTGTTAATTGACAATGTTCCTTTGTTTCTGTTCACTTGTCAATTGCTAGCACGGAATTGTGACATACGAATCTCAGAAGGAGCTTCTTTCTCCAATTGCATGAACAACTGTATAAATATTCCGAAGTTTGGAGCAGGGAGGATGTTGAGACATAGCAAATGGTCTTCTGTGGATTATACCTTAATTTGGCAAAGTTGGCTCAAAACTAATAGAAGACAAACCTTAGCAAGTTAGGTCTTCTTTCGGACAAATGAATGCTCAGGCTGCACATTTGCACACCTACCTGGGAATAAATCCCATCTTGCTCAGTGGGTCTTAACCTGATAACATACAGGGACAGGATTTGCATTAGCAGGGGGTCATTTCAGCTCTTTCACATTGCGATCTAGCTCTTCTTCTCTGCTCCACTAAAACAGTTTTGGCTGTCTACCAACTTGTCTCTGTCTCATTTTATGCAGCCTTCTGTGCCATCAGTGCCAAATTACAAGGCTTCCATGACGATCCCAGACTGGCTTCAGGCAATACAGAATTACATGAAGATGCTGCAGTATCCTTCATTTTTGTTGTTTTTTTAAAAAAGAGCTGCTTCTATTAAGCTTATTTGTTGAAGAAAATGGAAAGGAATGGATACTTTAGTAGAGAACCAACCTGAGGAACAATAAGGAATGAAAAGTGCTGTTGCTCTATTTTCCAGCATTTATGTAGCTTTATGAGATTACTTAAGTGTGAGGTATTGCCTTTGGCCTTTGGAATGCCATATGTAGCTTTAAAAGCACATAAGAGATTGTAATTGATGCAGGAGATTGAACAGTTATCAGACTTTTTTGTATGATCATGGTACGTAGAGTGTATAACCTCAGGCAGGAAATATCTATGTTTGATGAACCCAACCCTTCCTTCAGGAACTAGATAGCACCAGTGCCAAGAACTCAATACTGCAAGATAAGTTGCTTTATTGCAGACAAGAAAGAATTTGTGTGTATGAAGATAATCTGACTACTACAGAACACGCAAGTGAAGCCCTTTATATATACAAAATAAAGGTTTTAAATTTTAAGCTTTTCTGTCCTATCCAGTCAATGGACTGTGGCCATGGTTTTCCCATACTTGAGATTAGAATGCTCCCACTCTCTATCTGGTCTAAACAGAACTGGTTCCAATCTGATTAGCTTCAACCCTGATGGGGGGTCATTGGGATAACAATGCAGTGGCATCTAGGGCAATATCTTGTAGCAGTAGAAATAGGTGATATGCATTCTTATAGCATGATATGTGGTTGGTGGCCTAAAAAAGGGGATTGGACCAATTCATGAAAGCCATGGGGATCAATGGCTATTAGCCTTGATGCCAGTGTTTCTGTCTCTGAAGGTCATATGCCTTGAAATTTCTTTGGGCAATTGATTGGCCATTGTGAAAACAGGCTGCTGGACTGGATGGGCCAGACATACAATCAGCACGATACTGCCTATATTATGTTTACTGCACTGTTATAGTAATAATACTTGCAGAAAAGGTTTTAGAATAATGATTAATTACAAACTAAATACAAGTCAGCAACCTGATTTGGTTAGGGCAAAGGCAGTTTTAGGCTGCATAAATACTAGTTTCCAAATCACAAAATGTAATTATTCTACTCTAATTTACTTTCATCAGAACCCTGCTCAAATACCTACTCAAATTCTCAATGCTGTCATTTAAGTAGGATTCTGAGAATTCTGAACAAGTTCAGGAAAGGGCAGCAAAGGCATGTCAGAAAGTATGTTTATGTAGAAAAAGGAACCTGTTTGTTCTCATTGCAGAGCGTAGGACACAAAACAGTGGATTTAAGTGATAGGAAGATAGATTCTGAATATTACATAAATTTTCCAAACAGGTCAAGCCACAATCCAATTGACTCAGAGAGATTGTATGTTCTCCTTGATTGGAGATAATCAAGAGGAGGCTAGGTAGCCATCTGGCTGAGATGCTTTGATTTGGATTCCTGCTCTGAACAGAAAGTTGAATTTAATGGCCTAAATAGCCTCTCTTATGATATCCACTTTGGATTTAGACTGGAGACAAATCCTGATTTTCAATAATTGTAGCAGTTTGGATAGCACTTCCAAACACACTTTTAGAAAAGATCTATATGTGAACAAGCATACAGAGACAATCTGAGTAATTCTTAAAGTAGTTTCACAATGCCTTCTGAAAGATGTAGGTTTTTCAGTATTAGGAGGAGTAATTGTTTGCTTATAACATTATTCTTTGAAAGGGAATGACTTTATAACCAACTGAATTATTTCTTAGGCCCATCACGAAGGAGGTTATGGCTAAAAGGCTAAGTCAAGAACCATGGTGAAATTAAAATTTGAAATGTATCTTGTCGAGGAAGACAAATACTACTGAAGCAAAGACCTAGTCCCAAATTCATTCTCTCTCTCTCTCTCTCTCTCTCTCCCTCCCTCTCCCTCTCCCTCTCTCCCTCCCCCTCCCCCTCTCCCTCCCTCCCTCCCTCCCTCCCTCTCTCTTTTTCTTTCTTGAAAAGGTTATGACGTCATTTATTTGAATCTTACACATGTACTGTTGCTTTCTTCATTTTTGCTATTACTTTGTCTTAACAAATGAAATCCAGATATAACCATACGGGAACTCAATTCTTCGAAATTAGGAAATCAAGACCTCTAAGTGGGTATGTAATATTGTGCAGAAAGAATGATTTTTACACAGGGGCTTGCAAACCCAATAAATGGCCCCAACAGATGAAATAGCACAATGCTTGTTGACAGCATGTATCACAGAGTCTTCTTGAATATTTCATCACCTCTTAAATTACACATCCAACCTATCTCTATTCTCAGTCTTCAGTGATGCATTATCATCAAACCACAAAGTCAACAGTTTATACTCCTTTTATTGCACGTATTGTCTGCGGTTTTCCTTCGGCTGCACAAGAGCTATCATCTAATATAAATGTAACTAACCTGTGACTATGGGGCCATATGTGGTCCAAAAAAGCACAGATCTTGATTTTTAGATCCCTTTTTCCATTTGGAGTGGTGACGGAAGGAGAGGTGAAAAGGCTAAGAATGAAATCAAGGCCTTAAACCTTGGCACTTCTTAAAACACCTTCCAAGTCCCCAAAATGGGGAAAATGATTCTGAAAATGTTACTTCCTCTCATCCTCTGGTGATGTAACAGTGAGCATACTCCTGTGCCTCTAAGGCAGGACCGAAGGGGGAACTGCAGCATGTCTGAAAAACCTTTTCTTACTTCTGGTCGAGAGGAAAAGTCATGAACTTAGATAGCCTTTCTCAACCTTTCAGATGTTTAGACTTTAATTCCTATAATACTCAGCCAATTATGTTTATTAACACCCCAGATACAAGCATCTGTACTAGAAACATAAAAAAACAGTTGATATGGAGTCCTGCTGTTGGTTTGCCCCATTGGCTGTGGTGGTAGTTTCCCAACATATTGAATAGACTCTTTGTCACACTTACAGCTGTGAAAATTGGACTAGGAAAATGTCTTTCAAACTGAGCAGACTGGCTGGCTGGGGAATTCTGGGAATTGAAATCCTCTTGAAGTTGCCAGGTTTGAGAAACACTGGACTAGGACCTTTGTCCACAGTAGGTGTGTGTGTGTATGTGTGTGTGTGTGTGTGTATTCATTCTTAAAACAAAGGGGAAAAAACAAAGATGATTTGTACAACCAACATTTGCACAGAACTTCACAGTTGTCTTCACAGAAAAAGGTACCCATTGTTACTGGATGCTTTGCTTACCCATCTGTGATGAGATGCATATTAAAGTTTACATGCTGCTTTTTCTATTGACATTGAAAGTGGCCCTGGCACAAGCCATCTAACTTGCTCAAAAAGCTTTTTTATTAAGGTTTGTCTCACAGTCAGCCAGTTGTTTAAACTGCATTTGGCATTTTTATTTACCTATCAAGTCACTATTATGGTTAGACACAGTCAGCCAGATGTTTAGACTGGAATTGGCATTTTTATCCACTTTGTCTTTCTCAGGGACTTGGGATCGGCAGACGATGTTGTTCGGTGGTGTTAGATGTACCACTGCAGGATGCACTGTAAATTGTTCCAAGTAAAGCTGCCTTTTGCAATTGACTGATAGTGATTTTTTTCAGTACTGATGGTGTTCAAGTGGTACTTGTTTTGTGATATTATTAAAAAAACTTTGTATAGTAGTTAAAGTGCCCTCCCTTCCTTCAAAATAAATCACACATAATGAAATTATTTCACACATAATGAAATCATACAGAATGAAACTCTTTGTTATCTTGCAATTTTCATATGGAGGAACCAGCAACATCTAATGACAAAGAACAGAGATAGCTAGTTTCTTTTTAGTCTTTCAATACTTAGCAGGAAGAATTTATCCTTCATTTATCCCACAAATGACAAACGTAAAACTAAATAATGCTTAACTTTAGCAAGTGTGGTGTCGGATTACTGTATTTAGGAAAGAATAGAAATTTGCTGAGATCACATTTGAATGTGACCATACACTCTGAATGTATCCTAACACATGCCCAAGAGAATTCATGTTGCTTTCTTGCCCATGAAAATAATTCAAAGGATTCTGGGCTCCAGTACTTGCAGCCTGTAAGATGTGTTTGCAAATATGGAAGGGTCCTCTTAATGCAACCCTATATTTTTAATAATATATGATAAGATGACCTGTCTCTGCCCCCAGTAGGTCACCACAGAGGTACAGCAAATGAAGCATATATACTTGTACAAGACTTTAGTTTATTCATTGATTTATGGTAGGTTTCTGGTAAGTTTCCATATACAATTTAAAGTCCTCTGTTTAGTTTATCAACCCATATATGGCTTAATTCTAGATATCATCAAGACAATCTCCTTCAAGGAAGAATGACTCACTTGGTATATTTCTCCTAACAAGGATTGTTAAATATCCCCTTCTCTGAGATTGCCAGGGAGAGGGCCTAGAAATCAAGTTTCTTAGTAGCAGCTTTGGAATACCCTTTCCTTCTCCGGAGATTTAATTGATACCCACTTGATACAGCTCAGGAAGGCAGTGAAAATGTTCCATGAAACCTGCAAGAGAAGAGCAAGCTGAGCTGGAAGGTGGGGTTAAATGTGTCATCAGTTTGTAGTCATTGTGATGGTGCAAGAGACCTAAGTCTAGCCCGCTATGAATTCTGTGAGGGGGTATGTGTGTTTATGCATGTGTATACATACATACATAAATATAGATACTAATAGATGTTTGTATAGAGGCACAACTATTGATACAAATATGTGCACATATCTATATAAACAACCATCCATTGTAAGGAGTTATAGACATGAAGTGATTGTATTTGGAGGTTTCTGCGTGCACGCTTACACAGAGTGGACCTTTTTTTACTGCACATATTTCAGATCATTTGCATGCCGTGGTTCAGCTCATGGTTTATCTTGAACCATTTGTTTACTGATCCCAGGCAGAATATGGAAAGATAATATATACAGTGTGTGGGAGATTTGACTGGGGCAGCAATTTTTAGCACAGCAGCCTGTGTGTCTGTATTTTTACAGTTGTATTTCTTTAGTGAGAATTGGAATGGTGGTGAAGCTTACAATTTAAAGTGCATCCCATAAATAACATTAGAGATAGAGGGGGCAGGATGGAATAGAAAACCTTAACCTTAGTTGCAATGAGTTATGTACACGAACAGCTTGAATCAAAAACTTCAAGGAAAACAAGGATTTTAAAACAATGTTAAAGGAAGGTTAAAAATTAAAGTCTGTACATGCTACATGTAGTAATTATATCATGTATTTTGAGCCTAGAGATCTCTCAGAAAAATATAGTAATGTATTTGTAGCAGTTTTTAAAATAGTAATTGCAAAGATATTCTCAATCATGGCTATCTTTCTAGTCCATTAATGTTTAGAAAAACCAATATGCCAATTAAAAAAAAATGCTTTTTCCAGTTTTTTTGAAATGTTACTGATTCAAAATTTTATAACAATATTAAAAAAAGAGTAAAAACCTAAAGCCTTTCAAATCATTGCTGCTATAATAACGCATTTTATTCCAATTTACAAGGTTTCAGTTTACATTTTGGATCTCAGTTCTTTTGGTTTTTGTTATTTCATAAGCAGCATTGGCAATCAGTGTAAATAAGTACAAACTTAGTACTAAATATTCTTTTAAGGAACTGTTTGGATTATTTTTTAGTGATCACTTAGCTGAGTTGGTGGGATGAACACAATAAATCTTTAGTATCTGTTAGTGTATAAAGTCAGTTGTGGTTCCCTTTCAGCAAATAAGCTGTGATTATTAGCACTAGGGAAGCTAGTAGATAACAAGTAGACTTCAAATTTGTATTAAAGAGATGTAATTAAGCACAGTAATGTCAGTTTACTGTGGAACTCTCCCAGAACTCTGGATTTTGCTAATGAAAGCGTTTTTAATGGAAGGGAATCAACAAGATTGAGAAACTGCAGCAACTCATCTAATTTAGTCCTCTTTATGATCTCAGTTGAATGAAGATATTCTCAGACAAAAGGCTCCTGTTGCTAGGCAGGTAGAGTTAATTTTTTTTCCAATGAAAAGAAAAAGAAAATCATCCAAAAGAAAAAAATAGGGGAGTTGCAAATACTATAGAAGGCAGTGGCTATTTCCAGAATTTAGATAATGATCTAAACTCTTAGCCGAGTGGTTAACAGAACGAATGGGCATATTCCAATGCACCAGCTTCTTTTACTGCTGCTGTCACGAGGTTTATTTATTTACACATATTTTGTAAGCAGAAATTTCCTATTTGCACAAAATCTGTCAATCAAGAAAAAAAGCCAAGAGGCCAGTGTATTTGCATAACACCATACTATTTCAGCACGAGGAAACTGGAATCTGGTATGATGCACTGTACCCAGCCATGCCTTCAACCAGTTTGGCAACTGCATAATGAAAGCTTCATCTGGAAATGTTCTAGGGTTTGGGAAGTTACAATAAAGAATGGAGAGAGGAAATGGTCTGAACAGACTTGTCCACTGAAAGGCTCCTTTTGTGCCGGGCTTTCATAACTGTAACTTAAGTGAGTTAGGCTCTGGATTTAAGGTTGCATAAATTTTCATTACTTTATTTCCTGTAAAAGGAGATAAATTGACCCTGCTGCCTTTGTTCTACTCATTCCAATGAACGGACCCTGGAATGTTGCCCCAAGACCATCTATTCCTGGAACAAGGGCAGAACATAGGAAAGGGAACTTTATTTCTAAATAAATGAGAGGGGGCAAAATTCAATTTTTATATGTAAACAAGGCTACAGAATATAAAAACTTTTTTCAGACACAACAATTGTTTGTTTAAGCCATATTTTGTTTCCAAAAATTTCGCTTATTTTCTATTTATCACTTTTTAGGCTAATGGAATCAGCAAAAGAAATGACCAGGGAGTCTTTGCCAATCAAATGCCTTGAAGCAGTTATCCTAGGGATGTATCCTTTTGTTTTTAATTTTTGTTTGACCTTCTTTTAAAATAGAAGTAATAGAATTACTCGCTTGCTTGGCTGCCGTGTCAACATCAACATTAGGTGAGTCATTCTTTCCTTCTATTGGTGGTTTTAAAAATAATTCCACCACTGGTTCGCCAAAAATGTGAGTGTGGGCAAGCATGTGCGCATGGTTTTTGCGCAGTGAGGCTCAACCGAGCAGCCTTTTGGGGCCTGCTCCCCTTCATCTCTGCTCTCCAGGGCAGTGGCTGCTTCTCTCTGCACTTCTGAGAGAGCATCTTGTGCAATTTAGCAGCTGTGAACTGCTGCTTTCCTCTTAAGTCCCATCCGAAAAGCGCTGCAGCACAGGAAACAGCAGCCATGTTGAAAGCTGTTTCCCTCAGCTGCAGTGTTTTCCAGATGGGACTTAGAGGAAAGCGGTGGCTCACAGCTGCTAAATTGCACAAGACGCTGTCCCAGCAAAAGTAGCAGTGGAGAGAAGCAACTACCGACCCGGAGAGCACATGGAGTGTCTCTGCAAGCGACCAAGGCTCGGCAAGGGATGGAAGAAGCGGCTGCAAGATCTCTGCTGCAGTCCTTTCCAGATGGGACTTCTTACAGGTAAGAAGAACTGCCTGGTCCATTCTCAAACTGCTTTGGCCCTCCTTATGCACCCCCTCCCTCGTGGCCCTTTGGCCTAGTGTGGCAGGCCGCAGCCAAATTAATTGTTTTGGCTTGGGGGAGCATAGTTTGAAGCCACATGAGGGTGGCAGCATGCAGGCAGAGGCCTGGGGCAAGGCTGGAGCTGGGGAATGGCGCATTCCCTGACCCAGCCGAGGTGAAGGGTGAGTGGGTGGCATGCTTACCTTTGGTGAGCCGAGCGGGTGAGGCACGAAGATTAGCTCGGCTGCATGGCAAAAACAAGATATATAGCATGGGGTGGGACAGGGTGGGGCCAGCTGGTGGTGCGATTTTCCTATCAGTTCTATGAGAGCATGCTTCACGCAGCCCAGCACTCAAAAACTGCCCTCTGTGTTAGCGCTAGTGAGGTGAGCTGTATTTTAGCTCAGCTGAGGCGCGGCAATCCACTCTGCCATGCGAATCAGCTGAGCTAAAATACAAGGGAATATAGGACAGGAAAGGGTGGGGTGTGAGGGGCAGAGCCAGCCAGAGGTGCTATTTGCCGGTTCTTGGGAAAAAAATTTCAGAGAAAATTTTCGCTACTGGTGTGCCAGAACTGGTTTGAACTAGCTGAATACCACTTCTGTTTCCTTCTTTATTAAAGTCAAGGAGTAGTGCGGGAAGAAAATACAGACATGAGTTGTAGGACATTTGAGATTCCTTGCAGGATACCTGAACAAACAAATAATATTGGACTTATATTGGATAAATAAAATACAATGAAAGGAAAGGGTAAAAGGTACTCTTGGATATATCTATACTTCGGGGAATATAATTACATAGCAAAAATATATATTTTCATTTGTAAAAATTCTGAACAACACTGAAGAAGTCAACTTGAACAAACACTTAAAATTATTTTGGGTAGGAGTTTTTGCCCCACAACTGTGCTTTTAAACAACTACAAAAAATTGGTCTTCCTTAATAGAGAATACAAGGGAAGGCTTTGAACACTGCTATTACAAATATGATTCCAAATTTGGTCACTTCCATATGGGATATTTGTGGCAGTTTGAATTCAGCTCCAGATCCATTCTCACAATTTTGTCAGAATCGGTTAGTGGACTCAACATACTACTAAATCTGCTATGATTTATATGAAACAACAACTATCTGTAGTCCTTCCAACACATCTTTCCTCCATTTATCTTTTGAAATTATCTTATGTGGTGAGCAGTTCATAAACAAGATCAGTTTCTTGGCCGAAGGATCCTCTGTTGACTGCTTACAAGAAGTTTTGGTCATTTAGATGCATATGAAATTCTTTATGAGTCAAGCTGAGGAAAAATATATAAACTGCCTCCTGTGACAAAGACTTGCAGAAGGTTCCAATCAGTCTTCATGCAAAGTTTTTTGTGTCCCCCAAACTTTTCAACGTCTGAATATGATTTCTGAAATCCTTACTGTTAGCGATTTTGTGCTTCGTATTAAAAACAACTGTACTGTATGGTGTTGGATTCAAAAAGATCGATGAACTTATTTTTGATATATGTAGGGTTCTGTAGGCTTTTTGTATGGCAAATGTACAAGATTATATGAAGAGTCTTGAAAAAGTGGTTTAGGTTGTCACCTTAATGTCCTGGCAATCCCAATGTTAACCTTGCCCCGTTAGTTTATTCCCAGGCTTCCATGGTTGTGTCAGCCTTAGCACATTGTTAGCAACTACAAAACATAAAAGATTGCAAAGAGAATCAGGATAAGGCGCATTATGGTGGCAATTCTTTATTATCATTACAATGCCTGGGCTCTCCTGCTAAAGCTCCCTTTTGTATAGAGGCATATAATATAATTGGAAATAATAAGGGACACCTGATAAAGAAGGTTTAAACATGATTTTTTATAAGGTTTAAACATGATTTTTGCCTATACAGGTAGTCCTTGACTTATGACCTCAATTGAGCCCAAAATTTCTGTTGTTAAACATTTGTTAAGTGAATTTGCTCCATTTTATAATGTTTAAGTGAATTACTGCAGTTGTTAAGTTAGTAATGCAGTTGTTTAGTGAATCTGGTTTCCCCATTGACTTTGCTTGTCAGAAGTTCTGAATTTGATCACATGACCATAAGGATGCTGCAATGGTATAAGTGAAAAACAGTCCTAAGTCAATTTTTTTGGTGCCATTGAAATTTTGAACTGTCACTAAATGAACTGTTGTAAGTCGAAGACTATCTGTATTGATAATATGCAACATTTTAAAATTGACTCAGAAATGAATAGAACTTTTAGATCATTCTTCCTTCTTTTGGAAGATTACTATGCTTTAAATTACTGCACTGAAATCAAACAGCCAAAAAGCCTGTTGGACAAGGTGAGTTTTCTTTGCACCTTATGAAGCCTTAGGCAAGACATTCCAGATGGTGGACTAGCTGCAGTCAGTATTCTGTTCCAGAGGCATTGCCGTTCGAATGAAGGAGGTAATAGGAAAAATTCTCTGATGAACTTGTTTATGATACAGTAGATAAAATAATTCCAGATATACAAAAAGTCTGGTGCTTTGAATCATTTCAACTCCTCTGTGTTGAAGGCAGAATATAAAGTAGATCAGTTCAATACTCCCAGAATTTGATAGACACTAACATAAGGTAGAGCAATCTAGAAGTCCATTGCGTAAAAGAAAAACGAATACAAGCTTTAAAATTCAACTTCTACATTGGCAATATATCTCAATGTACATCTAGAGTTCTGTATATCCTATTGTAAGTGTAAGCTTACAAGGAGCTATTATAATTTCCCAAGAAAATTAATAGTGATGTCCTGGAAATTTTGAATGAAAGAAATTGGGAAATATTAGATATATCCTTAATCCTGGAAAACTCTTTCATTTGCTTCCAATTAAAGTAGCAGCTTTGACCAGGTTCATATCTGGTGGAAGGCTAAGTGACGAATGATGATGGTAAATGGTGTCGATGTTGAAATGGCTTGCCCTGTTAGTGTCTTTGTTGGATATGATTTTAGTTTTTTAAGGAGAATGAAGTAGGAAGAGCAAGGAAATAACTGCAAATGCTATAGAAGCCAGAAACTTAGAAGGCTGTAAGAAAATACCTCTCACCAACTTATCTTAAAATAGCATTTTTATGCCTGATTGTGTCATGCTCATCCTTCATGCAAAAATCGAATGATACTTTTCCATTTAAGCAGCGATGGGGCATATGAAGAGTGTAGAAAGAAAAATTGCTTGGCTTTTTTTGAAAATGGAGTGGATAGAAATATTTTGAGATGGATTTCTTAATCTTTCAATTACATAAGACCAATTACGTTGGGAGGAGAAGGGGAATCTTGAGACTGAAGTGTGGAGATTAGGAGAATTAAGTCAGAAGTGTCCTTCAAAGCAGAAATAGGGGGCTGATCTATCAGAACAGTGGCTGTATCCTCTTGCTTTGAGAATGAAATGATAATGAAGCTTTCGTGTTTTACCATTGTTTGCCTCACAGGATGAGGAAAATAGTTAAACAGAGGCTGGATACACCTTTCCTTTGGAAAGGAATGATGGAGTCAGATGGAGCATTGTGATACAAATTGTCTTTTTGAACATGGATGTGATTTCCATATGAACAAAAGGAATAAGGCTTGCATCACAAAACTCTCTATCATTGTCATGACCCTGTCAGAGTCTGAATCTGAAGAGGAAGACGAACAGCTGACAGGGCCCAGTGGGAGTGTGGCTCCATTGTCTGTAGAGGAGGCTGGGGAAGGGCAAAGTTTGGCTGGGCAGAGCAAGAGAGATGTAGAGCAAGAGAGAGGGAATTCAGAGGAAGATCCAGGTCTACCCTTCTTCATCTTAGGGCACGCAGGGACGAATGGAGAAGAGAGCAATGTGGGTTGCGTGGCTTACAGGGGAGGAAAGGGCCCTGGATTCCCTTCATTAGCCACACCTGGGAAAAAAGTTTAAGAGACATGCAGTCTGCGTGCGTGCAGCAGCTGCTGGGAGCAAATGTAACTTTATCTTGTGTTGACTTTGTTTATCTGTGTTCCTGACGTCTTCCCAACTGTGTGAGTTTTGCTGTGCCTTCAAGTCTGGAATTCTTGCTCCTGCCCTGCCATTGCTTCAGTTTGGCTTGATTGGACTTAAAGTTGCAGTTTTTGTTGACCATGTTTTGGACTTGATTCTCTGCAGTTAAAGGCTGTTCCTGGGAGAGTTTTTCTCCAGCCAGAAGGTAACCTGGACATTGGAGGCAAAGTTGGAGCTATTAAAGGACTCTTATTGATTATCTGACTGTGTTGACTTTGTGCCATGCCCCGGGTCATCACAGTCCTCTTACTGATTTAGACACACACAAAGTCCACAGACACTGCTGATCTTAAATATCAGGGTCTTCAGCAGTCCCTGATATTCATTCTTTATTTTTGAACTGGACTTGGATTGTTTCACACCAAATATATCTTCCAAGGGGTTTAAGCACATGGCCACACTAGAAAGACCTTTTATCTATCTTGACTGGACAACGAACAGAGGGGTGAATGGAGGAACAATGTGAATCAGTAGAAAAGAGCATCAAATCGGAGGTAGTTACACCTGGAAAACGTTTTCTATTATTTGGAGTCTTTGCTTTGTTGTTGCCTTGACATGGCCCTTACCAGATACTTAACCAACGGGCAGTCTTCTGTCGAACGATTCCCAATCAGCTTTAAATCCCACTTCTCAGGGAGCAATTTTCATCACGTGGTGCTTGGAATTTATTTCAATGGCCGATATGGATCACTGGGCATGAGCCGAAGGTCAGAGTTGATGGACAAGCCCTTAATCTACCGAACTCTGAGTGACCTCATCTTTGAATTTGAAGACTCCTATAAAAAGTATTTACACTCAGTTAAAAAAGTGAAGATTGGATTGTATGTCCCTCATGAACCTCACAGTTTTCAGCCCATCGAATGGAAGCAGTTGGTACTTAATATGTCAAAGATGATGCGGACAGAGATAAGGAAGGAGTTGGAGAAATATGCCAGGGACATGAGGATGAAGGTATGTACTGTTTCTGTGACATTTGGAAAGTGGCAGAAGCTTAGTTCTCACAAATGGTTCTCGGGTGAAAATGGGAAACTATTGCTTGGGAAGGTTGTAGATAAGGCAAGTTCCTGTGTCATTTGGCTGATTTCATCAAAGATCAATGAATATGGCCTGATCTACCTGGCTACTTTGTCATACTTCCATCCCATCCGAGAGCTGGTAGTATCTTATTGTATGCCCGGAATAGATCTCTGCTGTTCTGCGTTTCATTCAGCACTCATGCACAACGTTCAAAGAGGTTTAGGCAGTTTTCTTCACTAAAATTCCAGCCCTAACCATTGTCATCCGGTATGTGGGGGAGGGGGGAATCCTCCAGCTGGCAATACACCCTCTGGTTATTCCATGCCTGACACTTTTTTCTCCAGTTCCATTGATTCTTACCTGAATTTTTTTCCTTTTAGCACTTGAAACTATCAATTGACCAAAAGTACAGGAAAGGCCTTTTAAAAAAAAATCTGTTGGCTGTCCCCTTAAAAGTTGTCTGGATTTATACAACTAAGATGCAGCCAGTGGATAAATAACTGCTGCACTGCTGGATTTTGAAACCAGGGTTATCTGTGGGCAACACTTTAGCTTGCATGCATTAAGCCAAGCATGGCCATGTCAGTTTGAAAGCTCCAATTTCTGGAGGAAATGATGCCAGATATTTTGACGACGTAACTATTGCTTTCCAAAATAAGTTTGCATGTGTGAGTCCTGCAACATTTAGCAAGCAGCACTCCCCGAGTTTGCTCAATTCTTGTTGAATTGTTTTGAGTTTTTGATTTCTGCAACCTTAGAGTACTCTGAAGCTTTGCTTTTTTGTATTGATGGTGTTTCAGAAAATGATTTCATTATTAGTTATGCTTGTGTATAGTCATGTATCTAAATCTATGGATTGAGAAGATTTTTCTGTGCAGGTTGATTTCCCGCAATATTTTATATCTTGACAGCAAAGCAGTGATATTATTTCTTAGATATATTACCCTTTGCAGTGGTGGGGTTTCTTCTAAGGTACATGTTTATACTTAAGAGATTTATGCACCACTTTGCATGTCTCCATTCTTTGTCTCTTTGGAATCTAATTTCCTACCATGGCCCTGCCTTCCACCCCTTAGAATGCAGACCATAGCAATTGAGAATGACTCAGCAAGTACATTCACCCTTTTTATAGGCAAATCCAGTGGGTTGTGGGATGGCAGGTCTATGTGTAGGTGTGTATCTGCTGTATGTCTTTATTCTCTTCAAGAATATTTGTTTAATGCCTAAACAAATTATTCTAAGTAATTCTACATTGATTTAGCACGTGGCTCCCATAAATATTTTCTTCTGACAATCAGTTAATGGAATCAATGCAAAGTTGAACTTTTGGCTTTCAAACTTTACAGAATTTTTGCTTTTATCTCTGGGACAATAACACTGTGGCATACAGATTATAGAGTTGAATAACAGTCTTTCTAATTTATTGACGATTAACTTTCTTAGTCAAGAGGCTAATTTCTACACTTCAGTTCCCATATACGAGTACTTCTTCACTTACAATCCTTCATTTAGTGACTATCCGAAGTTACAATGGCACTAAAAAGTGACTTGCAATAAGTCCTCACAGTTACAATCATTGCAGAATTCCCATGGGTATGTTATTAAAATTTGAGTCCTTGGCCACTGGCATGTGTTTAAGGCAATTGCAATGTCCTAGGGTCATGTGATTGCCATTTGCAGCTTCCCAGCTGTCTTCTGGCAAGCAGTCAGCTGTCTTCTGGGAAGCTGATTTGCATAACACCATGACAAAATAAGCCATAATATTGGACACATCTCACTTAAAAACCACCATGCTTAACAACAGAAGTTCTGATTCTGGTTGTGGTCATAAGTCATGGACTACTTATGTAATAATTTGGAATAAAAAATTATATGAGAAAAATGATGATTTTTTTCTCAATAATGATAGATTACTAGGAGGTTATTTTAGGAACAGTTTCCAAAGGATAAATATATATTACTGGCATCATTTCCTAACATTTTCAAGAGATAGTAAAAATAAATTCCTGGTAGCTCACAGATACTGGGTTTCTGTTCCTTTTCCATTTGCTTTTCAGTCAATGCTTTGAACATGAAAGATCTCAAGAAAAAAACAATCCTCTCAGGCTAGACAGGAAAAACACTAAGCGCAGAAGCCCTGGAGAACTGTAACAAGTCAATGTGGATCAGAGATTGACAATTTGATGTCCTCAAATGTTATGTCCATCAAATTGTTTCAATCTGGAGCTCAAAAGTTCATCAGCATGAGAATGTGGGAGTGTGTTTCAAAAAGCAAACAAATAAAGAAATAAAAAATATTTGAAGGGGAGCTTTACATCCAACATTCTGAGCCAGCTTGAATGAACCATTGGACATGATCAAAGGCAGTGTTTTTCAACCTTGGCTACTTTAAGATGTGTGACTTCTATCTCCAGAATTCCCGAGCACACTGGCGAGGAATTCTGGGAGTCCGCATGTCTTAAAGCTACTACAGTTGAGAAATCCTGGTCTAAGATTGTTCTCCATTTATTTGTAATAAAAAAGTGAAAAGCATAACACAAATTCTACATATTTGTAGCAGAGAAATCATTATATACCTTTTATGACTTATTAAAATATAAAAGCTTTGTGAAAGCCAGCTATTATGAATAAATACATCTGGATATAAAATCATTTTTCTCTCTCAAGATTTTAAAGCCTGCAAGTGCCCATTCTCCAGTCAAGCAGAGATCCCGAGGAAAGTCCTTGTCCCCTCGACGAAGACAAGCCAGCCCTCAGAGGCGGACCTGTCGAAGAGACAAATCGTGAGTGTTGCGATTCTGAGTGATTCTGTGACATGATGAGACATGGGTAGTATGCTCTAGGACTTCAGAGTCTGTGTCTACACTAGGAAATACTTGAGTTCTTTGGAAATTTGTGTTTTAAAAAAAATAATCAAGATCAGTAATGTTGGAACTACCTTCCTTGGAGAACAACATGTTTACCGTAATTAATTTTATTTCTTGCTTTTATTTTTTGTTTATCTGCCATGATGGAATTTGTGCTAGCACATGTAGATTTCCCAATTAATGTATGTGTGTGTGTATGCTTATTTTCATATGTATTTCATAGAGATGATAGAAATAGATCGTTTCCAGATGTTTGATATGGAACAGTTTAAGTAAGTTACTATGGTGTGTATTTTAAGTCAAGCCTTCGGATATCAAATCTCTCTATAATCTACAACTGTGAGAATGGAAAACTGGGTGGGAGGTAGCTTTGCATTTCCTAGCTGATGTTTGGGCAGTTTGCTTCAAATCAGGAGGGGTTTCTGGCTCCCAGACATAATTTCCTACTGCTTCCAGTGTTGAAACTATGAGTCAGTAAAATGGCTCCATGTACTTAAAAGAAGGTTGTGTAAACAGGCTAGGAGTTATTTCAAAGTTTGCTAGTCTATGTAGAAAAGCATCCTTGCGGAAAGGAATTGTTTAAGTTGAAGTGAAGACTAAGGGCATCAATGGCCATGGGATGCTGACAAATGATTGGAGAGGAAACAGAAAACCCTATTGAGGAGGTATGGAATGGAATGGAATCCTGAACAGCCAGATCTCCATCTTGTAACATGAAACATATATTATTCTCTGATGACAATCAAATGGAGCTACCTATTGAAGAATCTTAAAGCAGAAGATATTAAGAAAGTTGGGAGAATGAACAGAATAATCAGCCTGATTGGAGGCTGTTGGGAATAATGAATGGAGTGTAGTGTAGTATCCAGAAGAATACAGGCTGTCTGTCTAGAACATCGATCACAAATGTTTCCTCGCTGTATAAAACAGGCTGTTAGAATTAGGAAAGGCTGGGCCAAGACTGAGATGGGCTTTTGTATGAAAGAATTGTGCATTTGGTTCTGGTTCTGAAAACAAACCACACGAGCTCAAGAGATATGCTTCTTTAATTTTAAGAGCATACTCTTGCAACTTCCAAGAGCCAACTACTTGTTGGTGGATCTGAGGCTTCCAGTAAAAAAGTTAAATCTACAAACAGAAATCTAGGCATACTTGTTATAAGATGCACAGTTAGTCAGTAGATAAAAATCTGAGAGGCCAAGTAAGCTCCAGTGGAAATGATATGCATGCTCCGTATTTTGGTCAGATTTGTCAGAGTTGCATTTTCCAGCCTCTTCAACTGCAAGATGTGTAGCTTCAATTCCCAGAATTCCCTGTGCTAGCTAGAGAATTTTGGGAGTTGAAATCCACATCTTGTTAATGACATCAAGTTGATGATGCTGAGAAAAAACTGGTCTAGAGCCAGTGATTTCAAGATAAATTATTTATGGAAGCTACCTGCAACCAGGTACCCTCCATCTAAAATTCCCATTATCTTCAGATGGCATGGCCTTTTCCCTGACTGGGAAAGTCCACCTTTGGGTTCATCAACAAATACATAATGAAAATGGTCCTTAGAGATAGAAATGTAGAAAATGAAGATCAGCCATATACTTATCATTTAATATATTTGCAAATGGGAAATGTAGTTAAATTGCCAAAATAAGTTGACATTAGTGCTGTAATGCTAAGTAACTTGAATGGAACATGCAAAACTGAAGAAGAGAATTGTTGAAATGTAGTCGATATTTTAAAATATATATCTTAGCAGATTTTGCTTTTTCAATCTTTTTAGGCAGAAACTGAGTCCTATTCGGCTATCAGGAGTCTTCAGGTATCAATTGAATGTTCTTTCGTAGTGATAGTACTCTGAAGTTTGGAAAATAAATTATAAATTAATTGACCAAACTTTATTTCTAAATGAAAAATGCTAGACATGTCTAGAAATTGCAGTGCTGGATTGGTTAGTGCATCTGTCAATATTTCTTGAAGCATCATGACTGTAGTATAAGTAAATAGCTATACAGAAATCATTAGATGTATAGATGAAGGTTTGCATGAAGATCCTTAAATTGTAGCTGGGGTGGGCAAAAGTAAAGTGCCCATGCTTATGGGGCTTAGGCCTGCCAATATTTCAGCTGCCAAACTTTTAAAGTAAAACCTTTTTCAAATAAAAGAAAAGCAGAATGTCATTCCCTACCATTATAGGAATGCTGAGGAGCACAAGACGTTCTTTAAAAAATGTTAATGGTGAATTGGTCCCTTTGGAAATAAACCCATCTGTCCAGGAAAAAAGAAACGACAAGAGTAAACTAGTGTGACTGAGAGCAGAGCAGGGACATCATTCACCATTGGCAGCCATGTTGTCAATAGACAAACCCTTGTATGGCAGCCATTTTGTGTGAATATCCAGAAGACATTTCCTGAATTCCAAATCTGTCCCTAAAATCAAATAGAGTAGCCAGTCTCTGGAATAAAACAGTGAAAAGTTAGTGACAACATCCACAAGAACTCCGTGCAATTTAACAATAGTTACATCTTCCTTTAGCTGAGCTACTGTGAAGGCTTTTTATTTGTTCCTTAAACAGCCAAACATTTCTCTAAGCTCCCTCTCTAAATATAATTTGGCATTCATAGCAGCTGCTCAGTTAACTGCAGGTTGCTATTTTACACATGGATTCATAGTGTAACATTCTTGGGAGCTTTTGGTTGGAATTCTCCATGTTTAGTGTCTGGATAATTATAGTTATCAGAGGTTACAAATCTCTGTTCAATCTCCTTCCTGCCTTTTTAGGGGATATTTTCAGCCTCATGTATTGGGCTGTTTCACAGGTGCTAGGATGACACATATGCCTGGTGGGGGGGATATCTCTTTGACTAAGATGTCAGCTGAACAAGCAGCCTCTTTCGGAGTGCTAACTGTGGCTTTCCTGTTGTTTGGAATTGACAAGGCTGTTTAGAGGCTGGCGTCTTGAACCTCTTCCAAATCCAGGGAGGTTCTGCAGATTCAATCCTTTAATTTTTTAGCATATGATTTGAAAGGAAGTGTTGTGGAGCGGCGGAATAACCTGAGGCGAACACGGAGTGAACTTCAGCTTTTACTTTATTGTAACAATAAAGGGTTGCCGCAGCTGCCGCGCTAACAAGGCAGCCAGCTGGCGGACAACAGCTGATGCTGTTTGACAGCTCCCTTTTATAGCCGGCTGTCAAACGGCATCAGCCAATAGGAACGGTCCATGTTCCCGCTGGAAACACAGACCAGAGTGAAGACTTCAGCTCAGTCTTTTCCGAACGCCTCACTCCTTTCCCCCAGAACGGAGCATGCTTAGTCCTTCAGATAACTCGGGCGCTTGCGCAGGCGGCCAGATCTTCTAGGTTCTGACGAAGCTGCTGCTGGAAGGAACTTTTCTGCTTGTTGGGCAACTTCTGGTGCCAATGAAGTTGGCGTCTTGGCTTCAGGCGTCTCTGGGCGAGGGACAGATGGCTGCTGAGGTAGGCTTGCAGTCCTGTCAGATTCGTGGGAAGTTTCTTCGGGCGCCGGCAGTTTCTCTGTTGCAGGAACGTCTAGTGGGCCATCTGCAGATGAACTCCAACGCCTTCTAAGTTGATTGATAAGGCGGCGCCAGATGCACCCGTCTTGCAGTTGGACCCTGTAAGACTTAGGACTGGTTACCACCACAATCTGCCCAGGCATCCACAAAGGGTGTCCCACATAATTCTGGGCATAGACCTGGTCATTTTCAGCGAACTCCCTTGCCTGGCTATTTGATCCTAGGGGCATGACTGGGGCATAATATGGATGGAGTCTGTCTGAAGTAGTCCTCAGACGTCTACCCATGAGAAGTTCAGCCGGGGACCTATTAGTAGTGGCACAGGGAGTCGTGTGCTGGGTTAGAAGATACTTAGCAAGCCTAGAGTGCCGATCTATGGGCCCAAGCCTTTCCAGGACCTCCTTAGCAGATCTGATTGCTCTTTCAGCCAGGCCATTACTGGCAGGATGAAAAGGAGCTGTAAGTGCGTGCCTGATTCCCAGGTTAGCTAGGAAGACCTCAAACTCACAGGAAGTAAAGTGGGGGCCGTTATCAGACACGATAGTGTCAGGGAGGCCATGGGTAACGAATATCCTTGATACAGCCTTAGTGATGGCTTCTGAAGTTGTGGTGGTCATCAAGGTCAGCTCTACGCATTTAGAAAAAGAATCAACCATCACCAGGAATGTACGCCCGTGAAAGGGGCCAGCCAGATCAATATGCACCTGGGATCAAGGGGTCCCAGAATCTTCCCACCTGCCTGGAGTGGATGTGGGTGGAGCAGGTCTGGTAACTTGGCATGGCTGACAAGCATTCACCCAACTTGTAATCTGAGCATCCATGCCCGGCCACCATACATAACTGCGAGCTAGGGCTTTCATTCTGACAATGCCAGGATGCCCTTCATGCAGGACCTTTAAAACTGAGTCTTGCAACTTGGAAGGGGTAACTACCCTAGTTCCCCAAAGTAAACAGCCTTGCAAAGAAGACAGTTCTTGCTGGTGAGTTTTGAAAGGCATGAATTCGGGGGCATAAGGAATTGCAGGCCACCCCCTTCCCACCCAGTCAAGGACTTGGGCGATTACCTTGTCCCTGGCAGAGTGGGCAGCGATATCAAGGGCGGTGATGGGAAGTTTGAGATCGTTGATCAGGAACACAGCATTAGTTGGTGCAGGGTCCTCCACAGGAACAGGCAGGGGGCAGCGACTAAGAGCATCAGCGTGGCAGAGACTCTTGCCAGCTAGATAAACCAGTGTATAGGAATAGGCAGACAAAAATAAAGTCCACCTGGTCATCCTTGGAGACAAAATCTGAGGAGTTTGTCTATCGCCTGACAGAAGGCCTAACAGAGGCTTGTGATCCATAACCAACTCAAAATAGTGTTTATATAGAATCTCATGGAATTTTTTGACAGAAGCAACTGCAGCCAAAGCCTCCTTGTCAATTTGGCTGTAGTTGTGCTCAGCTGGGGAAAAAGTTCTGGAGAAAAAGGCAATGGGTGCCTCAGAACCATTAGGCAGTCTATGACTTAAAACGGCACCTATGCCAAAAGGAGAAGCATCTACTACTAAAACTAAAGGTCATTAAATTGGATCAGAACAGCATCGGATGTGAGCAATGATTTGACTGCACGGAAAGCATGGGCTTTCTTAGGTCCCCAGTGCCAGGGGGATTGCTTATCCAAGAGTCTGTGCAGAGGCTCTGCAACGGAAGCTTTATGTGGCAAAAATTGAAGCGTAAAAGTTAAGAAGTCCTAAAAAGGCCTGGAGCTCAGTTTTGTTAGTTGGTGTGGGTGCCTCGTGAATAGCCCTTACTTTGGATTCAATTGGGTGAATACCAGAGGCGTCAATTCTACCTGTGGGGTGGCAATAGTGCACTTCTCTTTTTTTAGCTTAAGACCATGCTTCCTGAAACGATCGAGGACTCCTCTGACTCTTTGCAGTAATTGAGACTTGTCAGGGGCAGATATTAAAATGTCATCAAAATACGGAATTACACCTGGTAATCCTTGAAGAAGTCTTTCCATTAAAGATTGGAAAATCCCTGGGGCCACACAGCGGCTTTGTCATCAACAGGAAACTGTTGATAGGCCTGTGACATGTCTAATTTTGTGAAAATGGTTCCTGGCTCAAAAGAATGTAGTAGGTGCTGGATAACAGGGACTGGATAAGCGCTGATTTGTAAATATTTATTCAGTGACGTCTTGTAATCTGCGCAGATTCTTACGCTACCATCTTTCTTCAGGGGTGTCACTATTGGAGTTTCCCATTTTGCGAAGCCCACAGGCTCTAATATACCCTGTTTAATTAATTTGTCAAGCTCCATGTCTAATTTGGGGCAGATTGCAAAAGGTACCTTTCGTGGCTTTAAACGGATTGGTACTGCCTGAGGGTCCAAGTTGAAAGATATTTGGGTTCCTGAATAACAGCCCAGCCCCTCGCTGAATACATCAGCATAGTCATTAAACAAGGTGTTCACTTCAGCATTTGTAATAGAGTGGATTCCACTTATATGGAGGCCAAGGGCAGGGAACTAGTCTAACCCCAACTGTCTAGGGAGGGCACCATCCACTACCACTAAAGGCAAGTGACCTTTAAAATTTTGAAATTGAACAAAAAAACTTGCCTTTTCCAATGACTGGGATGGTTCTGCCTTGGCAGTCACGTAGGGTTAACTGGCAGCCGTGAAGCTTCTTCTTAGCCATTTTGGGAAGTTTCAAGGTGCTCCATGAGATGATGGATAGTGCTGAGCCTGTGTCAACCTCCATCCTGCAAGGTTTCCCTTCTATAGAAACAAAAACACTGATTTTGTTAGAGCCTTTGTCAGTCAGCTTCGCTTGATAGCAGGTAAAACAGTCTTCAGCTTGTTTTTGGAAATGTTGGGTTGTCTGAGGTTTTTGGGCAAAAGTCTTTCCTGCTTGACAGATCCTGGCTAAATGACCCTTCCTCTGGCATTTTAGACAAATGGCATTCCTGAACTTGCAGGATGCCCTGAGGTGGTTTCCCCCATAGCTTAGACAAATGGGCTGAGACCGTGGAGGTAGATTGGGGTTTGGTCTGTTCTCCCTTTGACTGGTTTTTTGCTGCCTGAGGCGATTTACATCATTAGCCTCTTCATAGCCTTCTTCTGCGGAGGCTTCATCGTAATGGATGGCTGAGCTGCTTTGGCTAATTGGATTTTCCTGAATTTCTGCTGCTGAAAGTGCTGATAGTTCAGCAGCTTGAGACTCTTCAATTGCTAATTTAAGGGTTAAATCCCCTTTAGCCAATAGACACCTTTGTAGCCTTAAATCCCTGACTCCACAAACTAGTTGGTCTAATAACATGTCTTCCAGATAGTCTCTAAACCCACAATGCAAGGCAGCTGTTCGTAGGGCAGCCATGTACCCACTAATAGTCTCTCCCTCAGCCTGAACCCGTCTCCTAAAAGCATGACGCCTGGCAATTCGGGATGGCTTAGGGGAATAGTGGTTGAAAAGAATTTCCTGCAATTCTTCTGATGGAACAGTCTTAATTGAACGTGGAGCCAATAATGCCGTAGCAGTGTCAAACACTGTGGCTCCGCAAAAACTTAAAAAGTAGGACTTTTTCCTATGGTCGGAAATGTCAGCGAGGTCTATGGCATCTAGGAAACAGTCAAATCAGTTTCTGTAGGATTCCCTTGTTTCTGCTGTCAGTCTGAAAGGCGGGAATGCAGGGTTCGAAGTCATCTCGACTCAGCAGTGCCGGATCTTCCGAGGAAAGTTGAAATTCGCGCTTGCGAATAGTGACAGTAAGCTTTTAAAGTGACATACAGCTTGGTAGTGACTTTGGCTCTTTTTTGTAGTGACTTCGCTCAGCGATTCTTTGCCTGGTTGCCTCTTATAAGTATCCTGCTCTCGACGCCAGTGTTGTGGAGCGGCGGAATAACCTGAGGCGAACATGGAGCGAACTTCAGCTTTTACTTTATTGTAACAATAAAGGGTTGCTGCAGCTGCCGCGCTAACAATGCAGCCAGCTGGCGGACAACAGCTGATGCTATTTGACAGCTCCCTTTTATAGCCGGCTGTCAAACGGCATCAGCCAATAGGAACGGTCCATGTTCCCACTGGAAACACGGACCGGAGTGAAGACTTCAGCTCAGTCTTTTCCGAATGCTACAGGAAGATATTTGAGTTTCTCTTATCAGGACTAAATGCCCACAAGGTGTTAGCTTAAAGTGTGTAATGGTCTGTGGAAAAGACTTTGAGGGATTTGGCAAGGAGACACTGCCAAGGGAAAAATCAGAGATGAGACAGTTTAGTCTACAGATTAATAGTGGATGGGACAAGTGATTCAGAAGGAACCATCCTTAGTTTGTTGGACTATAAAGAAAATGGGATAGCTGAGAACAGCACTGTACTGTACTGATTCCTATCTGGTTTATCCCATGAGGCTGGGTCTACTCTACATCTTGCAAGTTCACAGTTACAATCCCTTCTCATCTCCTTTAGGAAGTCTTCCTTGATTATCTCTTTTAGAGTCATGGATTATTCTGTGTGGCCTCCTTGATATTGACCTCATTGGGGTTAACCAGGTAGGAATCACAACCAGTTGAGCTAATTTTAGTTTATTGTAAAGCTATGTTGACTGAATCATGCATGTCTGAAAGTACAATTCTTCCCATTTTTCTTCCCAAGAAACTAGAGAGGGTCTATTCAGAGCCTTTTGCTCTGCACACTATCCATGTGTGTGGGCTGTGCTGTCTCTTATCAAACTGTTCCCTTAGTAGACCTCTTTGCCCTGACTTCAGAGGTATTTGCCACATACTATTACAGAGTATGTGATTTTCATAATATGGTATTTTGCTATAATCTATTAGTAGAGATGCAGAACAATGGCCCTCTACATATTGCTGATCTATAGGATCCTGGATTTTCATCTCAGAATAGGTAGAGCGATTTAGTTCATTAAGGATTGGGAGCTGCAGCTTCCCCATCCTCAAATCATGTTTCTTTAAATAAATGAGTTAAACTTACTATGATTCTTAAAATATGGTGCTAGTTTTTATTAATGTGCTGATGTTGAAGAAAAAATGTTCTTAAAGCATTGGTTATGTATGTGCTTCGCTTAGTAGCACATTGACTAAAAGGTTTCTTAAGTAGTCTTCTGCGCCTAGCAATTTTCAAACAGTTTTTTAGGAGACAAAAGGTCTCCTAAAGCCACTGAAAAACTGGTGATTATCATTTTTCAACTGTAATACATAATATGCTCCTTTCATGCAATAAGATTTTTTTAGTAGTGTAAGTAGAAGGTTGCAACTTTTATTCCTGGGTAATTCAATTCCTCCAACATCCTCTGCTTGCAGAAGTAACTTCCAACAAGGGTGCTTTGACTTGTCGTTTGTGCATTTTTTATTTGAGCAAGGTAAAAGTAGCTGCTGAAGTGACACGGTATGAAACAGGCTCTCACTTAACCTGCCCCTGGGCTGCACAGTTGGTCTGGCAAGGACTGAATAAGCAACTTGGCTTATAAGCAACCATGTGTTCTGCCCCTAACCTGGTTCCAAGAGAGCAAACATAAAACAAAGGCAGCAGCACAACCTTTTAATGTTTCATCTATGAATCCTGTTTCTTCACAGATAAAAGGCTGCTTCCAACTAATTAGCTCCAACAAGAAAGAGCCTTGCCAAGGTTTTGCAAGGCTGCCAAAAACGAACAGATAAGAAATAGTTTACAACACAAGAGTCTTCAAATACCAACCGTAATGTCCATGAGGCTGAGTTTCAAAATGTCTTTGCTTCCTACAAAGACTGTTCACTTCACAGCAGCCTTTTATCTTCTTGAAGGAGGGGCCATTACCTTGCAGCCTTACTCCCGAGTCACCCGTGCTGTTGTAGCTGCTCTTTCCTGCGAACAATCCTGCGCGCACACGCACTTGGCACAGACTCCTTGGGAACCTCCCCCTCACTGCTGCCAGCCCCCACAATCTGTGAAGGCAGCAATCCACTCCCTAATGGTTCTGGCCCCTCTGAGTCCTCGCTCTCCTCAGCTGTCCGCCCCTGCTGCCGGCTAACTACAACACCTTGGGGAAAACTTCACCTTGTATCTTGTGTTTAAAAATCCCAAGCATGATGGATAATCACAGGCTGTAAGGATATCTAGTTTGATACTTAATTTTAGAGAACTTCTTAATTTTCTTAGAGTAGTTTTTAACACACAATTTTAAAACAGAGCATCCACAGTGGGAATCAAGATGGTAGTGAGACTGTCCAATCAAATTCCTACCCATTCTTACGTGCATGTGGCACATAATAAACAAAGGCCATTTATTGAGGCCATTATCTTGACTTTTTCATTCCTACCTGGATGCCCCTGAAAGTGATTTACATTGGTTAGACAAATGTTTTTCAAACTTGGCAACTTTAAGTTGCTATTTCTGGCTGGGAAATTCTGGAAATTGAATTCCACACTTCTTAAAGTTGTCAACTTTGAAAAACACTGTTTTAGTCTATATAGCTTAGAAAACATTAACACGAAGGCTGCATTACAGGCCAATCACTAATACAGATGCAATTGTTGGCAGTGGTCCTGTTCTGATATTTCATGTTGTTTAGTTCTAAGCTTTAACTTTGATTTCTCTCTCTTGATTTTAGGCCAGCTGGTTTGGAAAAAAATGGGGGTGACCTTTCTACGTTGAATGAAGTTGGTTACCAGCTACGGATCTGAGAAAACCAGAGGCCAAGCCACGTGGCTTCTGGAGAGTTTCTTGCCGCACTTTACCTTGTGATACGTGGGGGGTGGGGATGGGGAGCTATGACTATTTATTATGAACGTGTAAGGTTTTTATTTATGATTTCACCAGGAAAGTAGGAATCCTAGAAGTGACTATGGTGGTATTTTTGTTTTTGTTTTTTTTATTTTTCAATTTGGGAAGTGGAATCAAGGAAAAGAGAAATTAGAAACCGTCTTCAGCTCTGATAATACTGTTAATCTCTATCAAGTTGAAAAATGTGTGTTGGGGGGGTGATACTACTGTGGCTTGGTTTTCTTTTGAAAGGAAATTACTGTTTCTGTGGTGGCTCTTTTCTGTTGGCTTGGAGCATCGTGTGGTGTTGTAGGAATTAGAAAAGACAACGCTGGAAGTATTTTTCTCCATGGTATTTAAAAATGCTGGGCGGGGGTGTGTGGTAATTGCATTCAGAAAAAGGCATGGCCTGGCATCAACTTTGATTGTCTGAGTCCCATTGAAAAGAATGAAGTTTGCAACTCTACGATCTCTTTCAGTGGAGCTTGACATAACAGAAATTGCTGTCGGACCTCATTTAATGTGACATTCAGCAATAAAATAGCAAGAGTTTATGTGGTTGGGGTTTCTTTTTCCCCCCTCTTCTTCAAAATATCAACATTACCTCAAGAATCTTTACTACAAATATGCAAAACTAACAGTATTTTGATTTTGTAATGGATTTGTACTGTGTTCCCAGTTTTTCTGGTAGCCGAGCCCATCCCTTCTGCCTTATGTGCATGTGTACAGTGAAGGAATTTCAAGTATTATGATGAGGTGTTTCTTTAAAAGCACTGAAGCCTTTTGTTAAGGATTGAACAAACTGTTGAAGTTAATGGCCTACCTTAAAAAAAATACCCCAGATTTAATAATGATTTCAAAAGAAGCAAATAGCTAACCTTTTGCAGTATTTTTGTCACATAGTCTTAATCTCATGGTCAAAGCACAAATGGTTCTGGTGTGACTCCATGTGGTTTTGTGTATAAAAGAAGCCCAGAGTCTGCCAGTACTAATCCTGTTTTCTGTATGTCACTGGTGCTTCACATGTATGATAGGCATTTTCCATTCTGCTTTGAGAGCATTCTCCAGAGTAGAAAAAAAGGAAACCTTTGGATCATACTGAAGATTATTTTCATTGTTTTGTGCAGATGTCGTAAAAGTCAATTTATGTGTTTAATCCTTTAAAACAATACCAGAATCTTAAGAATGCACTATTCTTTATGTTGTGCAGATGTCTTGACATCTTTTATCATAATCAAACATTCCACTTGAAGTCAGTCAGCGTGGAGAAAACAACCATTTATAGACATTGAATTCAAATCAAAATGAATAAATAAATCCATGCCCAAAGGGAACTATTTTCACAATGCAACAAGGATATGTTATTTTGGATAAAAGATAAATAACACTAGCTTGTTCATTGGGAAAGGGGGTTGGCGGCTGCTGAAGAACTGTGAATTGATGCATATCTAACACTAGTTACCATATCTGGATTGCAAAATCTGAATGGCCATCAGATGGCTTCAAACTGATGTTCTTTGATGCCATCTAATGGTCATTTAGATTTCTGTAACCCAGATACGATAATCCTATCCTCTTCTCTTATTCCTATTGTAATTGGGTAAATAAGTAAAGAGGTAAGTAGGCAAGAGCATAGTAGCTCAACATAACCCACTAGTTTTGTTACATATTTCCCAAAGCAATTTTAATTTAATGCAACCAGATTCCCTCAAAATATATAAAGTAACTTCCTATCTACTCGTAACCATAATACAAGTTTCTAGTGTACAAGTTAAGAGATCAGAGTGGCATGTGAGTGCATTTCTCAACTAGCAACTCGTAGTGTTTTCTAGAATTGGCCATCCCTTGTGCCAAATAAACAGCAATAATAAGGACAAGGAGTTCTATTACTTCTGTGATGGTTGCTATGAAGACAAAGTGAAGAGCAACTAGCATAAAAATAGTTAGGTGAGAATGGAGGGACTTCATATTCATAGACAAAGCCATATCCAGCACATGACAACTACCCTGCTAAAAGTGAATGGAGCAAAAGAATAGTCCTCATGTAGTAGAAGAGAGGGATCTCATATTTCAGCTTTGAGATTGGGTTCCTGGTAAATTCTAATTTACTGATAACCTAAATCAATTTTTTAAAGTAAGTGTTTGGAATCGATTGAAGAAAAAATGCTAATTTAAAAAATAGCATTTTTTGGTAATCAATGTCTATCTATTATGAAATCCCTAAAGGTGATTTTGCTTTTTTAAAATTGATGTTTCTTATATATTTGAAGTGTTTGAGGCATAATCCTTTATGGAATTTGCTTGCACCACTTCTCTCAAGATTAATAGGAATGATGAAGGACAAAGATGACCAGATTTTAGTTGTCTTTCCAAACCCTTTTCATACTTTGTATCCAGGACCGTGGTTTTCCTTCTGTACACATACATTCTAGAGCAACGTGTCCTATCTTTTAAAAAGAAAATCTTAAAAAGTGTGAGTTTGGTGACTAAGCTTGTATTGTCATTACTTTGTCAAATGGGATTGATTCTGTTTCAAATACGAAGCATGCATGCTTTTTTTTCTTTTCTTATCACATGTATGTTTTGTGTAGCATGAAACTTTAATAAAATGTCTTGGAAGACTCTTTTTTAAAAAAACAAAGTCTTTGCAAATGTTTTAAGATAAATGTAACTATAAAGTTTATATAGCGTCTTTGTGATGCAAAACAATTCAATAGAGTGTGTGTGTGTGTGTGTATAAACTAGAGCTTCATGTGAAAAATTCCATATAGAATAAATAGAAGGTACGGAATAACAGACTGAAAGGTAAAACTTAGAATCTAATGTTTCTTCATTTATGAATAAGAGAATAAGGCTTTCCCATCTTCCCCTTCATTTTCAACAAATTCTCTGTGCCCCTCATTTGTTCCTGGAATTTGGGGATTATTTAGAATTAGGGGAGGGAATGTTGCAGATCTAAGTAACAGTTGCCAAGAAACACGACCCATCTTTATAGAAACTGCATGTAGAGGACAACACCCTAATTCTCGCAATAGTATTGCCTTATCTTTGTTATTCCATTTTGTTCTGCTCAAATAATAATATTCAAAGCTATTTGGAAAGTCTCCAGCAAAAGTACTTTATTTGAAATCTATACCTTCCACTTGTCATCTCAATTCAAGAATTCTCTAAGTAATGGTACACATATTGCCACTTTAATTGCATGGAGTTGAATTAGACATAAATGACTTTTTTCAAAGATGCTAGAATATTTGGAGTGGATGAGGCTTAAAATTGAAATCCACTGAGATCTTGAGCAAAAGATTGAAGATCAGAATTGTCCATAAAAGGGTTCAAATGTTATACTTCCTCTCAGTTCTGAATTACGTTACCCACAAAGATTTTAGAGTGATCCCTGCTTTTATTACATTTTGTGCTGTTTACATTTATATAATATACAACCCTCTCTACTTTGTTTTGAAATGTTTTATACATCATATGTTTGTATACAGTTCTGGGAGAAAGTATTCGCTCCTGTTAAAGTGGGTCTTTTTTGCAAATTTGAGCATCAATATCCTTAATGAGGAAGTTGCTAATTTGTTACAGTCCTCAAATCTCATTTTTACCCAGTAGTTTTTGATAATAGAGTCATAAACATTGATTTTAGCCTGAGGCACTATGGATGTTCTAAGGTTCTTGAAACATCCTGGTTGCATTCTTAGAGTGATTTTGGAAGAATAACAACTCTTGGGAAGATACACCATTTCCCCAAATCGTCTCCACTTCTTTATTTTTAAAATACAGGTAGTCCTTGACTTACAATGGTTTAATGACTGTTTGAAATTACAACACTTGAGAAAAGTGACTTATGAGAGTTTTTCATACTTATGACCATTGCAGCATCCCCATGGGCATATGATTAAAATTTGGACAATTGACAACTGGCTCATATTTATTTATGATAGTTGTGGCCACCTCTTGTACCCTTCAGAAATGCAGAAGCTTGCACTTTGGACAAGCAAAGTCAATGCAGTCTCCTCTTGAGTTGTCATCCAGGACACATGTGAGTAATTGCCCTTTGTGACAAAATTCCAAGGAACCAGTCTATTCACTGGTTCCTTGGTCTTCACTGCTGTCATCAGTTCTTTCACAGGCCCATCTTCAGTTTGTAATATCTTCCCCAGAAGCCCCAAACCTCCATTTCAAGACTGCACCTCTAACACAGTGGATCCCCAAAGCATTAAAATGTCTTTACAGTCTAGACTGATGACTTTTTAGTCAATGACTTTTTTCAGAGGTCTTCAGAAACTTCAGTGGGACATAACATTACTCTAGTATCTCTGCAATGAAGCTTCAATATGAAAGGAGCCAAACTTTGTGAGTAGCCAAAGCACAGCTGGCTCAAATGCATATTTTTATTGGTTTAATCTACTATCCTTAGTAATCATTTTAGTTAAGTTTTTTTTAAACCAGGGTGCAATTGCTTTTTCACATTTGCAAATCACATAGTAGAAGAGTTGACTCATGAAAGATGAAACAAGCTCAAGCCTTACTTTTAATTGTTTTTCCTTTATATATTAGTAAGATCCATTACACTATCATAAAATTTGGTTGCAAAGTCATGTAAAAAAAAAATCCCAAATGTGATGCATATTCACGAACAGGAAATAAATGAACAAGAGTTAGCAGAGTAACAGTTTGATCCTACTTATAATTGTCTACAAAGGATCAAGAATTTAGTAGGACTTTCTCCCAGGAAACTGGGAATGTGATTCAGCATGAAGTATCAGTGGCTGAGGGTTTCTTAAGTGTGAAAAGACAGAACAATAAACTTACAGTACTACCTTGCTGAGCGAGGCAGTACAAGGGAGGTTTTTTTTTTTTAAAAAAATACTTCTATTAAAGAGTTTAACAATACAAAAAGATATTACAAACTGGAATCAGAAAGAAAAAAGGAAATTTGAAAGAAATACAAAGTTCAGAAAAAAGGG